TACTATATAACTACACTGATGATGGCAGTTGAATCCGAAAAGAGCTTTTCTGTAGTAATAACGTTATTAATAATGTTTTGTCAAAAATGTCAAATATTAAAAGTTTTTTTTAACCTTAATAAACATCATCAAGATGATAGAAGTCTCGTTAGAAAAATTGAGAAACTCAACTACAAGTTGAATAATGTCAAAAACGCAGTGATCTTTATAAATAGTTGTATATATATTATACATATATATTATATATATATTATACATATACGTCCTACCTCGGGAAACTGGGTCTCGGACGCTAAACGAAGATTGATTGATTGATTGATATATTATACATATATTATATTATATATTAAATAATATATGTATAATACATATATATATATATATATATATATATATTATGCATATATTATATATATATATATATACATATACATACGTATAAATTATTCGGTCAACTTGAACGATTTTAAAAAAATTCACGCACGACACTTCGGTTTTTTCAAATTTAACAGTACGTAACTCAATGTATTTCATCGATTAAATAAAATTTTTATAAAAAAAATTCATTTATTTTTTAAATTATGAAAATTTTTGTGACACCCCACCACCTTCCAATTTTTGTATGAAAACTTGTACATATGTTGAACGACATATCTCTTAAACAAGCCAATAGATCCTAATCGTATTTTTGCCCATATAAACGAAACAATATAATAACACAACAAATAAGAATTATTGTCCCAAACCAAAAGAATTTTGCAAAAAAATTTAAAAAAATTGAATTTTTAAAAATGTTCATGATTTAAAGGGTCATTGCTCAAAATCTATCGCAAAATAATAAATGTTCTACTATATATTTAAGTCTTAATAAAAGTCATTAAAGTCTTAATTGACAAACAAATTTTTGTTGAAACAGGTTTTTAAGTTAATGGTTTTCAAAATGCCAACAAATAAAAAAAACTCATTTTGTTTGGCGCCATTTTTAACCATAAAGAATCAATTTTATTATTGTTTCGTATAGTGTTGTTATAGCTTAAAAACATCAAAAACAATAATGACAATTTCCTTTTTCAAACAAAGAAAAAAGTTTCAAAAAGAAGCACAACAATTTTTTTTTCATGTGTAATTTTTTTAATATTTTTTTCAACTCAAGTAATATCCTCAGTCTTGGACCAATAAAAAAATTGTCCTTAAGATTCTTCAAACATTACCTTGGAAAGAAAGATTTTGTCACTGTTACAGAAGGTTACCAAAAAGTATTTTATCATGAAATGTTATTCTCAAATATCAAAAAAATTTTTGTGAAAATCGTTGAATAAAGAATTGTAGAAATTTGCTTTTTACTTTCATCAAACTGCGTTCATTATGATATGTTACCTCTTTTTTCTCCAAGAGCACATCGAGTGTGCATCTGTGAATATCATAAAAATTTCAAACTTATTCTTGAAAGTGTGCCATCAAAACTTTGCTACATTGTCCGTAAAATTAGTGTGCAATATTAATTCGAGTGTATGTATGCTGCACAAATGTGATAAATAGCCAAGATAATTGAATGCTAAAATGCTTCAAATCGATTTTTTAATAACGTGTCATTTCTGTTAACAAATGGTGCCATGACAATAATTGTAGCTTATTGATTACTCTATGGAATACAACTGGTTGTTTCTCGTAAAATTTTCTTAAAAACGCGACAAGTTATCATCGTCCGTGGCATAAGAAAAGAGCTATCAAAACATTCTAGCAATTAAAAATAAGTTATAAATCTCTTAATGTAATGTTTTAACATACTTTGCTTAAAATTAATAAGCGATAATGCAGGATGCAATCCAGTGTCAACATTGGAGCAAGACACAAGTTACTCTTTATCCAATCCTTCTTTGCTACAGAAACAAAATGCTGTCTGTCGAAAGCGTATGTTTAAGTAACGACTGTCTTGATCGCAACGTTTTTATTGCTTATGTTTTTTAATTACAATACAATAAAAAACATGAAAAATGTTGTTTCAATTTTGTGGTGAGGAGAGCCATTGCAAAAGTTTTTCAAATTTAATATATCAAAAATATCAAACTTCGTTTTAATATTCATTTCGTTCCATATTTTGTTTAAGAAAAAATTATTTAAGAATCGAAGAGCTTTTGAAAATAAAAAAACCTCATCAATAACGGAATCATCAATTAGCCTTGGAGCCCCTGCTGATAAAAGTCCATGTGTTGCTAGAATATATATCTTGTAGGCACCTCTATCTTGTAGTATTTGAGCAGCACTGACAAATGCTTCAACATCATCAATCATGTCATCCTATCAGTTTAAAAAAATTATTAAATAAAAGTTGAACTGAGTGAAACTATTAAACCACTAATCTTTCTCTATCTTAAGAATTGTTATTATCGACATAGCAACGCCATTCATCATTTCATTTTTAGCGACTTTGGTGTTCCAATTTAGTGGAAAAAACCACGCTTTTATATGTAAAATATGTAAATGATATTTGGAACAAGGTTTTTCTTGACGCAGATGTTATAAGAAATTGTTGCCCATTTTGAGTTCGATAACTTATTTTTATAAAAAACTTAACAGGAGCTTCGTCATGTCGAGTCTATCATAAAAAAAAAGGTTATTGAGCTTCGTCATGTTGATTCTTTCATTAAAAAAAGGTTATTGAGCTGCGTCATGTTGATTCTTTCATAAAAAAAAGTTATTGAGCTTCGTCATGTTGAGTCTTTCATAAAAATAAAGTTATTGAACTCAGAATGGGCAATTTTTAAAAGATGTAAAATAACATTTATTTTCTTATTCGCTAGTCGATAAATTGAAATCGATATCGCCTGTACAAACTAAAAAAACTGCAATTACTATAAACATTTAATGTTTATTCGTCAATTTATTTAGTAATTTAATTCTAATTCTGTTAATTAATTCATGCATTGCCATCGGGAATGAACAGGAGTACAAAATTTCAGCATAATTGAACTATGGAAAGTTATTGAAACATCAATTACAAAAGAATTAAATTATAGAAATAAAAATTATAGAAATAGTTAAATGTTATACATGTTCACATTTTTCATTGACATAAATTTGCGATTAAAAATAAACGTGAAACATACTATAAACAATAGACAGTAACATACAAACCACCAAAATAGCAATATGTCCATTCACATCTCCAACTACTGATATCGGAGGCTTTTCTTTTTTATGCATAGCTAATTAAAATAGTACACAAATGAAACTCGTTATATAACAATATTTCATAATAGTAATCAGGTAATTCCATAAGTATTAATTGGACGATACTTCAGTAAAACATAATTTAACCTTATCAATTTATCAAACAATTCCCTGTTAAACAAAACAGCTAAATGTTTAGTTCACTTAATCGTTGGTACGCACACAACTGGAGTTCAGTGTGCAGGTGTAGAGTCCGTACAGATTGGGTTTGGTAAAAAAAATCGAAAAGGTTCAAAGAAGAGCAACGAAACTAATAAAGTCTTGCCAGTATCTTGATTACAGCAAAAGGTTAAAAAATTAAACCTTCCATAACTTGCCTATCGCAGTTAGAGGTGATTTGATTTTGGTGTAAAATATGCTTCACGGTCTGATAGATCCGGAGATTTGACCACATTTGTTCAGAAATAATGTTGCTTTCACCAGACGACATAATTTAATGCTAAGGACGTGTATCGTACGAGTGGACTGTAGAAAGTATTATTTCACCAACAGGGTAGTTCAGTTTAGCAATGATATGCCAGGTGAAGTGGTGAATGCATCAACTGTAAAAGCCTTTAAAATCATGATGGATTGGTATTATGAGAACAGGATGTTTAATATACAAACCCACTAGCATACTGAGGGGGGGGGGTCAGGGGACAAAACCACTTTGCATTAAAAGGGGTGTATGGTTAAAAGGGGGCCTCCGAAAAGCCGATATACACAAATTTTAAAATAATCAATTTATTAACCAGTGTATAGAAAGTATTTTGTGCTTTCATTTTTTGTATTTATGTGTTTGCTTAGAGATAAATATACAGTAATATAATATACTTGGTTACTAGAAATGTTATTTTGAAGCTCCGACCAAATGAATTTATTTCTATATTGGGAAATACCGAAAACCAGAAAATTATTGAAGATAAAAAAAAACAAACTATTATAGGATAATGATTGATTCAACACATGATACATCTCAACAAAACAAATAAAGCCAGATTATCAAATATGTTCATATCAAAAACAAAAATGTAGAGGTCAGAGAATCTTTTTTTTGATTTTTTCCTCTTGCAAAAAGAAGGTTGTTGATATCACACAAGAATGAAGACATTATTGATAAAGAGGGTTTGGATCTTAATCTGTGGTTAAGACAATGCTTCAGTAATGTCAAGTGTTCATTCTGGAGTACAAGCCAAGATCTATCAAATTCGCTTAACTTGAGTGGGGTTCAAGCATTTGGAAGCAATTCAACTTGGGTAACGTTTTTTGGAATAATTGAAAGCTTTTCATCATCAACTCATAAGTGAAATATTTTGTCAGAAACAGTCGGGATAACTGTGAAAAGGTCAGCAGGAACCAGGTGGAGCGAGCAATATCAAGCTGTGAAACCTGTAATGAAACATTTCCGTAAATTTGACAGGCACTAGAAAAAAAACTAAGTAATCCATCAGAAAATGTAGATGTAAAAGATTCAGCTCAAATTTTAATAAAAACTATTAAAAAACTAGATGCTTTGAAACTCTTTCTGCAAGAGATTCACGACAAACTGATTGAAAATGCATTGAAATTTTTTACAGAAACTTTTGAAAGAATGGAAATACCTCACAGAAAAATTAAGCCAAAAAATTCGAAGAAAGCTTATATCTGAAGAAGATGAAGCTTTAACAATGAAGTAAGAATTGATACGATCTATGTATCAGTCACTTGACTATCTGTATCAAGATCTTAGGAAAAGTATAAAATCAATGCAAAATTATATGCAAAATTTGCAGCCATTCAATCATCCCCTTTTATGGCATGAAGGACTTTCAAAGCTGATACCAAATGTCACAAAACACGTTTGATAAACTAGAAGAAAAAATTATGGTTACAATTAAACAAACGTTTAAGACGTCATCTTCAAGCAGAGCATGTTAAACAGTGATCTGCTCTGAAAATGTTAACTTATATAATAGAAATAGATATTCCAAACTTATATTTAGTTTTAAAGATTTTTTTGACAGTTTTCATTTTAACTGTCTCTTGCGAAAGGAGCTTTTCGAAATTGAAGCTGATTGAAAGTTACCTTCGTTTGACAATGAGTTAAATTTGATGAAACAATAAAAAAATTTTCTTAAACAAAATCTCGTAAAAAAAGTTCTAATTTGTCATTCTTTAATTGAAAGAAAATCTTGCCCGTGGGTCTGTTGAACATGTTTTGAAGTCTACATTGATTTTTGATGAATAAAAAATGAAAAAATTTTTCTGAAAGGCCTCACAAATATTTCTGCTCCGGGCCTCAATAGCCTTAGGGACGCCACTGAACAAACCTAATTTTAGTTGGTGGCTGGGCTGTAATAACTGTATTAATTTAGCGAATTTGATATGTTTATTTGTATGTCATCTACATATCGTTATTCAAAATCGTTATTCGATTCATTTTTGATGAACTTTAACGATACGCACTTAATTTTTAATTTGAATAACAGTTTTTATGTTAACATATACATCGAATTGTTCATTTGTAACATTTAATTTGTTCGAGACTTTTTTCAAGTTTATTTTTGACAAAAAGTTTTCTCCGGGCTATTTTCTCTTAAATAAATAAATCAATTAAATTAACTTTTTCATACAATACAAAATTATATTGCTACCTCCGTCTTCAATTTTTGTGAGACTGGCGCTCGCTCGAGCAAACATAACATAAAAAACATAAAAATAAAAAGTAAAATCGATGCTTTTGAATAATAATAGACTGCTTAAAATTCACGATATTTTGTACTGTGATCATTTGGTTCTTTAATGACTTTTTGTATAATAAAAAGTAGTTTACTAAATAAACACCACGTTTTGATTTTTCCATCGTAAATCAAGTTAAAAAATATACATCATTTCGAAAGTTACCTGGTAATAACTCAAGTCCTGTAGACAAACTTGTATTTCTTTTTCTTTGAACATTGGTTGGTGGTGGTGAATTTCGTCCATCAACTGTATCAGATTCAGCAATTTTTTCTTCTCCATGTATAACTGCAATATTGAGGTGTAGTCTTTCAGCATAAGAAGATGCTCTCTTCACGCCACCTGGATTGCGAGCAACAATAACTGCATTTCGATAATCTGGGATCTGATAAAAGTTTATGCCAAAATAAAAAAATGGTGTAGATAATACTGTATACGTTATATTTTATAAGTTCGAACCGAAACAGCTGATATTTTTATTAAACACAAACAAAACAATAAATTTTAGTTTTAATAAATAAATAGAGATTACAAAATTACACTTCTTTTTTGGTTTCCGGTGGTGCGAGCATGCACGTGTTTAGCTATCGGCAAACAAACTAATTTAATTTAAATAATTATTTTATTTTCAGCTAATTTTAATTTCAATTTTTTTAATTAAGTTCTAGTGTTTCGTTTTATTAATTTCATTTTTTCGTTGTTACTTTATTTTATTTTCCATACTTTTCATGCTTAAACATTTTTTCTCCGTTATTTATTTTTCGTTATCATTTTATACTAGTGACTTGCATACTGTAACAGTTTCTACGTTCATCAGACTTTGATATTTTAAAGAATAAAAGCTTCTTACTCGTTATTATGTTATGTATAATATATATGTACGTACTTAAAGTTTCTTATCAAGCTTTAAAGTTGATCTGATCAAAAAATTATATTACTGTATCGAAAAAGGTTTAATTTTTTTTTAACTTCTTACTTTAACAATCTCTCAACTAAGATTGCCTTGATGTATAATGTAAGTATAGTATAGTTCAACTCTCATCTAATTGTTCTAGCATATAATTGTGATGATAATGTTATTTAAATATAATGATTATAATATAATTATGGTATAATTAACGCAATAAACTGGGAAACTGGGTCTCTGGACGCAAAACGAAGATTGATTGATTACTAATTCTTTGCTTTTCAAAGGATATTTACGCAACATACGACTTAGGGTGTTAATTCTACTCATAATTTACATAATTATCATTGAACATTTATCAAACTGACAAGTAATAAATAAAACAATCAATCAATCTTCGCCGAGGATAACATGTATTGAGATTTTAATTAAAAATGATGAGTCAATTCTTTTTTGTCATTTCCTCTCCTAACCAGTATAGGCTATTGGATCCTGGTTGTTCCCCAATAATCTTCTAATACTTTTTTTTACAACATTGATGCCGTATTTGCTACCTCCTCAGTTCTTTTGTAGCCCATGCTGTGTTATTTATTATTTGACTAATGTTATATTTGCAATATTTGTAATCTTTTGGTTGTAAAATCGGCTATAAATACGTCCTACGTATCTTTGGATATGGATGCAATCGATAAATATTGTTGTAAACCCTTAACCTCGTAACTAACAACATCGATGTTATAACTTCAATAATCTCTATATTCCCAACACCAGCTTCTAACGATCGTCAAGTGTTCATTATTCCGTAGGTTCAAGATTTCTGATAGATGAACACAGCTGCTTCAAATGAAAACATTGTTGAACGTTTATTTGAATACCAACAGTAATAGAAACAATAAACTAATCCAAATAATAACTACCTATATCACATTTAAGACTTCGTGTCGAACCTGACTTTCTATGCTCGAAACCTGCTTGTAAACCACCCTGTAAACCTCAACTGCTGAACCTCACTTACGTAGGACATATTTATAGCCGATTTTATAATCAAAAGGCTACAAAATGCAAAGATAACAAGAGTCAAATAATAAATAACGCAACACAATTCGATCATTTACGCGGTTATAACAATATCAATATTTGCAGTACATCAAACAATACCGATGTTAACATAAAGCCAATATTGTTGTAACGAATATAGTCAAACTGTTAAAAATTCCCAAAAAACATTGACGACAAATTTTCGGTCCGTTGAAAAAAGAACTCACGAAACAGTTAAATCGATGTGTGAGGAGCCTAGGTTTGTAATTATCGAAGTACCAATAAATATAAATTGAAAACACTTTCTTAGCGAAACAAATACCTTCAAACTTATAAATGCTGTCAAAAGAAATTCAGTTTTTCTCTTTTTTCTTAGACTTAAACTATTGCTATGCACCAAGTATGTTTGCCAGAAAAGCAACGGCTTTTACCGCGGATTAAGTAATTTACACTCTACACAGCAGTAAATACTATCGGCTATTGAATATTATGTTGCAGTATCGGACTTAGTAAATTTTCGTGGAAATGTGCGGTATTAGCCGCCGACTAACTAAAAAAGATATGCTGCAGTATTTACAGCAAAGGGTATTTAGCGCAGACGTAGCTTCGTACATTCTTGCAATATAAGCTGCAAAGTGTGGCAATATGAACTGTTGTATAATGCGTTCAACAAATTTTATTGAAAAAATTTTATTTTGACTTAGCGGATCAAAATGAATGAGTTTGAAAGCAGGCGCTGACAAAAATAATAAAACGACATTTTAAAACAAATTTATAATTTTGAAATAATAAAATTATGATAATTACCAAATGCTTAAAGTGTGAATAAATTTATATCAATGAAAAATTAATTTTTAAGTGGTTTTCCTAGTGATAGATTTCTAATTCGATCAAATTAGTTGTCTTTACAATCAAATAAAATGTCAATAATAGCAAATAATATTGATTTAATTGAACAGTTTAATTATAAAATATCTAAAAAATTTGAAAACTAAAAAATTACAATAATCGAATGATAAATATGAATAGCATTTCAAATTTAAAAAAGTATACTCACTGATTCTTTAATGTATTGTATTAAAAAATTGGAAGCCCTTAAATTGTCAACAGGACAATTAAAAAACCCTTGACTTTCTTTTTGATGTAAATCCATAGTGATGATATGCGTGAATCCTATACAAATATTTTTCAAATTAAATTATTTTCATGCAAAATATAGCAACTGTTCACGAGCATATATTATTCAAATTTAGTAATTGTAATAATTGGCAAATATGTTTTAAAATTTTGTTGATCTAAGATTATATAGTTAATGGACGATTTTGATCTAAAACTATACTATTAAAGAACGATTTTGATCTAAGATTATACTGTTAATGGATGATTTTGAAGTTTTCTTTGTGCCTACTTTATTTGGTATGCTTGTTGATCAGTACATAACAACCAAATTATAACCCAATAATGTTTGAGAAAAACGTTTTATTGAAATTCAATTAAATCGACAAAAAAAATTTGTTTGCTGTAAAACTTCTGAAAATGATTACTTTAAATCAGTTAATTGCAAAGAAGAAACTAAACGTTCAAATAAATGAAATGAATAATAATAATAATAATAACAATAATAATAATAATAATGCGAAGTCTTTTATTATCCAAAATAGATATATCAATCAATCAATCTTCGTTTTGCGTCCAGAGACCCAGTTTCCCAAGATAGGACGTTGTTTTCTTTGCCATCAACTTATTGCGCCAAATTAGACGATCAGTTGTGTCCATTTCATTTAAATTTAGAGCTCTCATGTCTTGCATCCATCGGAGCATTTTCATGTCGGTTCGTTGAAGTTGTTCTTCCAGTTTGGTTGTCATTGGCCATGTTTCTGCACCATATAACAAGACCGGACGCATCACAGATTTATAAAGTCTTGATCGTAGTTGTAGTGAGATGTCACGCCGCATCAATATAGAGGCAAGGAGATGTCATTTATTCCAGGCTGCACGTATGCATGCTCGAACGTCAGCTTCAGCTGTTCCAGTACAATCTAGAACATCCCCTAGATATTGAAACGATGTGGCTTTTTCTACCTTAATGGCTTCAAAAACATTGTTATTTCGAATTTGTTGTTGTCTCCAAAATATAAATGTCTAAGGTACAAAGGTGCCAGCAAATAAAGCAGTTGACGACTACGACCTGGCACAGATGCAACGGCCTTCTCGCGGTGAAAGCAATTGGAGAAACCTCCAGACAGCCTGTCCAGGAAGGACGTCCTGGGTATGACATAAAACTGCATCCACGCTGCCTTGCGTGCTTTTGAACGTCCTGGGTATGACATAAAACTGCATCCACGCTGCTTTGCGTGCTTTTGAGCGAAAGGCTAGGCCCACCGCTTATAACTGGTGGTTGTCGTCAGGATGGGTGTCCGGATGTAAAAACTTTTCCCCAAATTACTCTTATGCCATCACAAAGAAAAACAACGGCCCCTAGTCCCCAGCAGGCCTTAAGTGATCAAGGGGTGCCAAGAATTACTGGGAAGTATGCAATATCGGAGGGATGTTGCAGAAAAATTCAGAATGGCCCCTCTATGGTACTTAGACTTGGAACGCTCAATGTTGGATCACTGACTGGCCGCAGCATGGAAATCGCAGAAATGCTCGAGCGTAGAAGGATTGACATCTGCTGCCATCAGGAAACCCGATGGAAATCGAATGGTGTCTGTCATGTCAACTCAGACAAAGAAAAATATAAACTAATCTAGAATGGTCAAAAAGTGTTGGAATTTTTGTCAGAGGACCGCTAGCCCAAGAAGTACTGGATATTAAAAGGACTAATTCACGTCTCATAGGGATCAAGCTTTGCATAGAAAAGCAAACAATTTTTTCTGCAAACGCACCACAGGCAGGCGAATCAGAAGAGATGAAAAATGACTTCTGGACTGCATTCTCTGACACCATCTCAACAATACCAAAATCTGAAACTATCCTGATTGGTGGCGATCTCAATGGCCACGTTGGAGAGAAAACAGATGGTTTTGACAACGTACATGGCTATGGAAAACGGAATGAAGATGGTAACCGCATCCTTGAGTTTGCTGAAAGTCAGGCGTTTTGTTTACTGAACACATATTTTAGAAAGAGGTTGGAACATCTCATAACATACAAAAGTGGAACATCAGCCACACAAATTGATCTCTTCGCTGTCAAGCAACCACACCGAAGGCTGTTCAAAAACGTCAAAGTTATACCTGACGAATCATGTGTCGCCCAACATAGGTTCCTGTTGCAGACGTGGTTGTCGAACTGTCAAAACATAAGTCTAAACAAATGCCTCGGAGAATCAAAACGTGTAAGCTGAAAAGCAATATTCATCGAGAAAAATTTTAACAGATTTCACACAGTTAGACCACCAATCGCAAGCCAGTACAGATTTGAGTACATACAAAATAGTTTTAATGAACGCTGCAACTACAGTTTGGGGGAAAACTGGTACAAAACGTCAGCATAAACGTGACACTTGGTGGTATAATGACAGTGTACAAAATGCAATAGCTGAAAAGAAAGTTGCATACAAGCAATGGCAAAAATCAAAGTCTGTAGATGACCATAAAATTTTCCGTGAGAAGAACTATGCAAGACGTCAAGTTGCACTGGCACGGACAGATCAGTGCAGAGAGTGGCTCACTAAAAGCAAAGGTGAACAAATGAAATCTCTGTATCGTATAGCAAAACAAGCAAAGCCTCATGTATCAAAAACGACAAAAATGAGATAATTCTTGAACAAGATGAGATCAAGCTACAGTGGAGAGAATGCTTCAATCGTCTGTTAAACGAAACAAATCCCATCAATGTTAACTTTGACGCTCCACCCATCGAAGGTCCGATTCCAGACATCACTGTAGAGGAGCTTACAGAAGCTCTAAAAGCTATGAAGGATGGAAAGGCAGCAGGGCCCACTGGACTCACAAATGACATTATCAAAGCATCTGGTACTGCAGGTATCCAAACGTTACTACAACTTTGCCGTGAAATCTGGAGAAATTGCTCAATGCCGACTGAATGGAACTATAGCATGACAGTCCCGCTATACAAAGGCAAAAGTGATCTATTGAACTGTTCATCATATCGGGGTATACGTCTGTTAGAACACTCCCTGAAAATTTTCGAAAAAATCATTGGGAGAAGATTAATGTCGTGCATCACAATCGGAAATTATCAATTTGGTTTTCTAGCGGGGAAATCAACAGTTGATGCAATTCACATCCTTCGGCAACTGCAAGAGAAGTATCTCGCAAAGCATCAACAACTATCACACATTTTTGTAGACCTTCAAAAAGCATTTGATCGCGTTCCCCGTGAAGCAATCAGGTGGAGTCTACGTCGACAACTCATTCCAGAATATCTTGTTCGACTTGTGATGGAAATGTCTACGAATACTAAGACTCTTGTCAGCACAACGGTTGGAAACACAGATGCATTTGACATCGGCGTTGGAGTTCACCAAGGCTCGATTCTCAGTCCACTGTTATTTATAACTGTGATGGAAGAAATCACAAAACCGATACGCACTGGTGACATTTGGAATCTAGTATATGCTGATGATATCGTTTTAACAGCCATGTCTGAGCAGAATGCAGCACAATGTTTGAAGATTGGAACACCAGACTCGCCGATCATGGATTCAAAGTCAACATTAGCAAAACCAAAGCAATGGACACTGGTAAACCCATCCAATCCACAGCTACTGGACGATGGCCCTGTTCAGTTTGTAAAGCTGGTGTAGGTAACAATTCAATCAAGTGTCAAAAGTGTAACCAGTGGTGTCACAAACGTTGTTCAAAAATAATTGGTACTTTATCTAAAGTGTTCAATTTTGTTTGTCCTGCTTGCATCAATCCACAACAACAAATTCGAAATAGCACTGTTTTTGAAGCCATTAAAATAGAGAAAGTCACATCGTTTCAATATCTAGGGGATGTTCTGGATTGTGCTGGAAAAGCTGAAGCTGCCGTTCGAGCACGCATACGTGCAGCCTGGAATAAATGGCATCTCCTTGCCTCTATATTGATGCGGCGTGACATCTCACTACGATCAAGACTTTATAAATCTGTGATACGTCCGGTCTTGTTATATGGTGCAGAAACATGGCCAATGACAACCAAACTGGAAGAACAACTTCAACGAACCGACATGAAAATGCTCCGATGGATGCAACGAATAAGTCTGAAGGACCACATCAAATCTACAGAAATCCTGCGTCCTGCTGGTTTAGATGATATAAAAGACGAATGCCGGCAACACCGTCTGCGGTGGTTTGGTCATGCCAAACGAAGTGGAAACAGTGCCATAACTTCTCTTGCAGATGTTGAAGTACCTGGCACACGTCCCAAAGGACGTCCAAAGAAGTCCTGGTCGCAAACAATCGAGCAAGACATGAAAGCTCTAAATTTAAATGAAATGGATACAACTGATCGTCTAATTTGGCGCAAAAAGTTGATGGCAAAGAAAACAACGTCCTACCTCGGGAAACCGGGTCTCTGGACGCAAAACGAAGATTGATTGATCTAGACAGCCCTTCGGTCAGTCCTTCAACAAATTGTTGAGAAACTCCTCCCTGCCGATGGGTTCTTGCCACCGGAGCAGCCTATTCCGGTCTGTGTGCACCGTTGCATCTTTTTAAAGGCCGGCATTAACTCAAATCCTGGCTCAAAAATCTGAATCTGGCTCGTATGTATCGACAAGATTAACAAGTCCAATATTCAGTTCGTTGCAGAATTTGCTGCAATTGTTCAACCAACGTTAACGGGTTTTTTGTAACAACTGTCCTTGCCCGTTCTTAAACTTGAATAGCTCGACGGCACAGGATGTTTCTCTTCAGCGATCAACATTCGTCAACCACAGCTCAAACTTATCCAATACCAACAAAATTTCTACTCAAACTACCGGTCAGATCAACATCTTTCCACCAAACAGTAACGGCATCAAAAACAAACAATACAAATTACAACAACACTTATTAATACACCACATACACATTGCAACAATTCAAGAATCAAAAGAATCCAATTTTCAAGGACTACGCTACATACCACAGAGACTGAAAGAGCGGAAGAGGCGTACGGACAGCATTATCTACACTATCAAACAATTACCGGATCTAAAAACCATGAAATGTCAAGCCATCACCATCAGGGTCGAAAACACAGATATCAACATTGTCAATACCTCCTCAATCCATCTGTCTACCAAATATTACAACATCAATCTCTCACTTCCTTGACATGCCCAATTTAATATTATTGGGTTATATCAACGCTCATGAAACGCTCTGGCACTCCAGCATGGAAGACTTCCAAGAAACCCTAGCTTTGACTCAGGCAGCGGCACACTCAACATGGATACTCAGACCCGCCTACTATCATCTGGTCAGCTGTCCTCACCAGATATCTCAATTGCGTCAGACACCCTGATCACAAACATGGATTGGTTAAACTTGACAGCTCTACTATCAGATTACCTTCCGATCCATATCACCCTATAAACAACAATGCAACCATCAATAATCTCTAAAATAAAGTTTACAAATTTTGCAAAAGCGAACTAGGTAGGATTCACTGCAAAAACTAAAGCCGCTTTTTCAAACGTCGCCTTCTCTCCTGACTTATTAGCAAATAAGAAACTTTTCCGCCAGGTTCTAACAACTGCCAGTGACCACAACATTCCATCAGGCAGACGTAAACATGCCATACAAGGTCTCTCAAAAGAAATCACTGAGCAAATGGAACAGTGCAATAATCTCAGATTCATTGATATTTCATCTAAAGACATAGTCAAATTCTCATCAAACATCCAACAAAAAATCAACAACATTAAATAGTCACGTTGGAAGAACTTTCTGGGCACCTCAATAGGAAAACCAACACCAATCGCTTCTGGAACACCACAAAAACCCTCAATGGTAAACCAAAACAATATCCTAACAATGTTAGCCTGTTGTTGAAATTGATGGCATTGTTGCCATCGACCAACAACCCCAATGGCCAACAACCTAACTAACTTATTCAACAAAATATTTGCAACATCAAAACCCTGTAGTCACCACTGATATCGCGAATGGCCTCAATCAGAAAAAACCGGCTCATCGCACCATCCCCACTGCACTGGATCACACGAAGGTCTTCGACACCGTCAACCATCCAACCTTGCTCTCCGATCCCCTGTCCTCTTTACCCCTAGGTCAATTTTTCACTGGTAATCAAATTATCGACGTAGACGCTCAGCCACAACAGAGTTCTGACAACAGCTTTCTAAACAACGTATCATACATCTAAGAGTGCATCAAGGCTCAGTGTTATCCTCATCTCTGTATAACTATTACGTCTTCAAGGCCCCTGAACCACCTCAAAACATTTTAATCATCACTTAAGCCAACGATTTCACCATTTACACAACCGGCTCAGATGTGGACACTTTAACCCAGCGGCTTCCAAAACTAAACAATTTCTTCAATCAACCAAACCTAGAAATAACCACCACCAAATTTACAATCTCTATTTTCATTTTTCATACTTCTCAGTATTACCACCATCCTCAGATCAAAACCAACAACCGACTACTACCTCCAGAATAAAATCCTAAATATTTGGCCTTACCTTATATTACCTTATATTACCTTATATTTGGGGCGGCGTGATGACTCAATAGTTAAAGGCGCCTGTTCTTGCTATTGCTATGACTGGGTTCGAATACAAAGAAATCCCCGCCTATCCTATGCAATGTGTATGATGCGTGGTTTGCACGCGTATTCATATACGCTGTGTGTTTGTCGTTGAAAACTCTGAAGCAAACGCAAAAGAGAGGGAGAAACCTTTAACCTTTTAACCTTATACACAATGTTGTCCATTTCACACCATCACAAGTTGGCAGCATCATCAAAAGCCTCCAAAAGAAACAACATCTTAATGGCTTTCAGCGGTATTTCCTTCGTTCAGGACAAGAAAACACTTCTGCGGACTTACAAAGCAAGCGGACGCTCATTAACAGAGTCCTGCCTGGTCGCCATTAACGTTCGATACTATCTACAACCGCCTACAACGTACACAGAATGCTGCATCACTGGTTGTCAAACATAACTTCAGAACAGCACCTGCTATCGGATTGCCAGATGCCATCGGTTAAGACAAAATTCTGACCTCCTGTTCTCCTAAATCTTTTTGCAATGCTACGAGCCAAAACACCCGTGTCACAACATCACAACAGAGCCCAGACTATATCGCAACATGAAAGACACCATCAGTTCAAGACAGTCTTCTACAATACAGAAGATACTTCCTGCGGCCATCAACGGTACCTCTCTTAAAGCTGCTTCAGTCACTACCCATAGTAACGCCGCCAAAACCACCATCAACTTATATCTTGCCCTGGTGCTACTTGTTGGTACCACCAACATCTAAAATAAGACTGAAATCTGTTCAGGGCAATCGGATGGACGTTATTCTAACTCCGTCCTGGCCACAGCATCTTTCTCAGCAGCTACAAAGCAAGAATAGGCAGTGGGCTTAACAACATCTGTCCTTTCTGTCATCAACACCCAGACGATGTTCTCCATCTGTTTAGCTGAATCAACAACCCCAATGATCTTAGATTTATAGATCTCTGGCTCAACCCGATAACGGTGGTAAATTGGCTCAGGCCTCGCCTGGAGCAACCACCGAATGCCTGATGCAGGGCAATAATAACAATAACGACTATGAGTTAAAAATATACAGACAATCAATCAATCAATCAATCTTCGTTTTGCGTCCAGAGACCCAGTTCCCCAAGGAAGGACGTGGAAAAAAAATATATACAGACAATCTCCGTTAAAAATGAAATCAATTGCAGTAGCACTCATGGCCAGGCTTAACAAAAAAAGTCTGGGATGACCGCAAGCTTTTATGCCAGACAAAAACTTGAATGCGAAATATTAGATTGAGCACCTGTACAGCATTGAGACCTGGACAGTCTTGGTCAGGCAGGAAAGGAAACAAATGCTTTTTACCTCAGATGCGTTGTATTATCACATCAAGTAGCAAAATAAAAAATCCCTAAGAATAAAGAACTTAAGTAAGCTTGCCTTGCCAGTCTACAAAAAAATCTATGTTGAGTGAACAAAGCAAAGCCTCTGTTTTCTTGGTCTTGTAAGAAGAAAGTAATCAGACAAAACCGTTCTATTACAAGTTCTATTATTTAGTGAGTTGGATAAAGAAACTCGTTGCAAAGGACGTCTTTAGTCTCGATACAAAGAGTTCCGCTAACATTAGATGACTGGAGGCCCAGGAAAGATCAGGCATCAAACAGAGGACGCTGGATAATCTTACTGGAAAAGGAAACACTAGCAGCCGAAAAGACAAGGTCGACCGTGACGAAATATACAGAAGAGATAGAAAAAGAATAGACTTGGCTTTCTGTTTTCGCGCTATATGTTTGCCGGCTATGTGGAAGAGACTACCTACCAAGCACGGATTCGTGTTTAAAGACAAAAAGATGTCACTGATTAAAAATATTTTCAGCCAAGCCAGCTCAATTATTTTGATCGTAGGATCTTGGCTTTCTGTTTTCGCGCTATATGTTTGCCGGCTATGTGGAAGAGACTACCTACCAAGCACGGATTCGTGTTTAAAGACAAAAAGATGTCACTGATTAGAAATATTTTCAGCCAAGCCAGCTCAATTATTTTGATCGTAGGATCAAAATTTAAGAGCGCAAATTAAAACAAATTTACTGTATTTGAACCGTTACCAAACATTAGATTGTCTAAAATAATTTCCGTGGCGTTTATTTAAGCTTCTTAACACTATTTTAATATTACTTTATATAATCTTCAGTTGCTTGTACTGTACCATGAATAAAAGCAAAAAATCATTTTAATTATAAGATTTAGTTATTGATTACAATATTAGTAAATATTAATATCTTTATTATTAAAAATAATTAATAAATATTAAAATAAATTTTAAATATTGTTATCCATATTTTTCATGTTTTAAGCTTTAAATGAAAAGTAAAATAATGAAAATAAGCTTATCAAATAAATTTGAAACTAAATAATTTACCTGCTTTGCACATCATATCAGCTAATAATTTAGCAACTATGCAACCTCTTTTTCTCATTGTACTTTGTTTGCTATATGGTAAATATGGAACAACACCAACGATGCTACGTGCAGAAGAGGTTTTACAAGCATATGCTAAAATTAACATTTCCATAATATCATTGTTAACATTCCTGTTAGGTTATAAAAAAGTTAACCTTTATAAAGGAGGTATAAGCATTTGGTCAATGTTAATTTTAAAATATAAGTTAATTCTATAATAACTGCAGCATACATATACATATATGTGGGAGAACAAACATGGCCCTCATCGGAAGCAGTGATACAGGTAAAATAAGCTGCTAATGACCACACATGAGCAATAGATGATGCGACGGTGAAAAGGTTAGGATGCTGTTGCAATGACCTGGTTCGAATGTAATGAGATCTCCGCCTATCACATGTAAAAGTTTCGCGATGTGTAGATTCACGTGTACTTACATAACATAGTGTGTTTATGGCTGATACCTCTGAAAAACTCTGGAGAGAATTGAATAAATGAAAGCTTCAAAGCCAAACAACTGCCAGCCAGTCCCATCTCTTGGGGTAAAGCTAACAGTTAAAAAAAGCAAAAAAAAATAAGTGGCACTATCACTAGTCGACTCGGGTGGACAGAGTTCATACTTAAAAGCTCACCCTGTTAAGAAGAAAAAGTTTGATTTCAAACCAAAAAAAGGATACTTCGTTCCTTAAAAAAAAGGTTAATAATTCTCAAATGTATCAACAACCACTCATCACACCCATTGCATGTGATAGGTGGGGATATCCTAAGAATCGAACCCAGACACCGCCAAGCAGGACCAGCGCCTTCAATCATTTGACCATCTTAAACCCAAGTAAACGAAGCTTGTAACTAAAGAAGGCACTCTGTTTTGAAGAAATCTAAAACCCGTATTAAGGCCATGCCCGAATGATCTTCTGTCCTGTCCACTTGGAGTGTTCTGCCAGGTTTTTGTAGCTGCGGTCTTTCCCAGTTGTTTTGAAGTTATTTGAATACCCTTGGGACGAATTGACCTAAAAGAAGTTATCTTCTAATGCTTAAGTTTTATATTTAACTTTCTTTTGACTAGTCCTACAGAAATGGATTTAGAGCAACGGAGACAGATTCTGAAGAAGGTTGTATGCTTCTAAGAGTCTGTGCATTAATAGTTGGCGGCTATAGGGTAATAGTCGTCAATAAATTTCCCCGACGGCTGAACAGCCCTTTATAGTGCCCAACTTTAATTCAGGGTCATTTTTTTCTAGAGCTTACAAACGTAATTTAGCTCCTCAAAAACCTAGTTGATTAGCAACCTAGAATATTGTACTACACGACTTGATTATATTAATTGTTTAATGATCTGTAAAGCGCCTCTTTTGAAAAACCTCGAAAGCGCTGTGCATATTTTGTTAGACAAAAAACGTTAAACATTCTGCTTGATAAACAATATCAACACCCACTAAACTTAAAAAGTATAGTTAAAATTGTTGCACTGTATCATAGGGCCTGGTAAAGACTGGCACATGTTATAACACTTTTTAGAAAAGCTTGCCTAATAATGCACTGCGTATTCACGTCGCTGGTTCAGCCACCAGAACAAAATTCGGTAGCGAATGATCTCTGAGACACCTATTGGCGTTATTCTAAAAAAAAGGTTTATAAAGACGTACACATTTTCACTTTATTTCATGAAAACATGGCTCGTAACAAGTCATCCGAGTTTTAAAGGTTTTTTTAAGAGCTACGTACTTGAAACTTTCTACAGTGTTTAGTTACAGTAGTAAACAAAAAGGTCAAACAACCGGGTCTGTTCTCAAAGGTAGATACAATTGAAACTACATCACATTACTCAACCAAAGATGCGCTCAACTTTGGTTTCGATGTTGAAATGAAATATTTGCGATGACGAAACCAAAGTCACCGATTTAGCTCGGTCGGTAGAAGTGCCATGTATCGCGTTGCTATTACGCGATGACATGGTTAAAATACAGTCTCTCCGAAACTCAAATACCATTACACGCGTATGATGCTGTGCTTGCGTGTGAATACATGTGTATGTGCGTCGTAGTAAGGATACTACAATCTTTGTGGCAAGATAGTTTAATTACAAGTATAGAATAGCATGTTTGACAGAGCTGCATTAAAGAGAATAAAATAAAGTCCGCGCATAAGACAAAATGAAAAATTGCAGCGTTATGATGACTGCATAAAAGCTCTGCTGCAAAGATACCTTTCAACCTTATTGGCAAAATTACATATTTATATAAATTCGAATTCGCTGCAGCCCAATATAAGGGCCCGCTGACTGAAGTTGATGTTTTGTTCAATTTGCTGGGTTAAAAAACTCCAAATCCGGGACACCAGTTGGACCAAAAATAAGGCTTTTTCTAACGCTGAAATTAATTTATAAATTTTATGGCCTTTTCCAGATTTTGCAAACGCTATTTAGTTGACCTGTGGTAATAATGTTTATTTTCAGAAGATTTTGTACTGTCATTATCCTAATAATTTCCTTCAGAACCACGCTCCTAGTCAATGACTTAAATTAAAAACACCCTCAGCACCCCAATAGAACTCTCAAGAACGCAAAGAATAGTTTTGTAAAAACATGTAATAAATTTTTATTGTGCTTAGCGTTTTTATTACTGTATATATAAAACTGATTTTCCATGCAAATTAGGAAGTGAGCATGGTAAATATAAGGTTCGAATGTGATTTCAATGGAAATTTATGGAACCTAATTTTCGGGATCGAAAACTTATGGTGTAGGGAACCACTGTTCTGGAATCGATAATGATGGACGGGAATAGAAAAAAGTGGGGAAAACGACATAAACGTGCAAAAATTTAAAAAAGTAATAAATTTTATCAAACTGAATGTTTGAATTTTATCTATGCAACTCAACCCTTGCTCGTAAACAAAGAAGATATATCGTTCATTTTCGATCAACTTGAACTGTGGTCAACGCCCGACCATCTCCGATTTTTTTTAAATTTTAACAATAAGAACCTCAGTGTATTTCATCCACAAAATAAAAATTTCATACAAAAATTTCGATTATTTTTTCAGTTATTAAGATTTTTGATTATTTTTTCAAAACTTGTACCTAAGTAGAACGCCACATCTCTTAAGCTAGCTAATTTATTTTAAGAAAATTTTTTGTACACATTAACACAATATAAAAACAAATAAAAATTATTGTCCTAAATCAAAAGATGTTTTGCACAAGAAATTGTGAAAAAATAGAATTTTTGGAAACTTTTTACATTTTCGAAGCCTCACAGCCACAAATTAGTAAAAAGGTAATTGTTTTATTATATTTTTTAAATACCTTATAGTCTTAATTGATAAGCAAAATTTTGTTGAAATCTGCTTTCGATTTCTCAAGCTATTAGTCTTCAAAATGTCCAAAAATTAAAAATCTCATATTGTTTAACGCCAATTTATACCTTGAAAAATCAGTTTTTAAATTTTGTTGTTTTGTATAGTGCTTTTATAACTTCGACATACCAAAAAAGAATAGGTGTTTGCCTTTAAAAAATGAAAAACCAGACAAAAACAAGCAAAAAATTTTATTTCATGTGTAAATTTTTTATATTTTTTATCTTAAAATTTTTTAAACTGATTTATATGCATAAAAACAATTTCGTATTAAGTTTTTTTATTATTTTTCAATAAATAATCTATCACCAGACAAAACAATCAAAATACGCCAGAAATTGTACCCAACCAATAACGTCGTTCTTGGATCAAAAGAAAAAATACTCTTTTATTTTGCATCACTATATTTATAAAAATCATTTGCGTTCAATATTTGATTATTCGTTTTCTGCAAACCAGTTCTTGCAAATAATTTTTGTCCCTTTTCCAATTCATTGCAAGATATTATTCTGTGAGAATTTGTAAAAAAAAAGTGTCATCCTGCCTCTAACTCCATATCTAGTTTGTGATAAATTAAATTTGAAAAACTTTTAAAGGTTAAAGGTTACTCTCTCTCTTTTGCGTTAGCTTCAGAGGTTTCAACGACAAACACACAGCGTATATGAATACGCGTGCAAACCACGCATCATACACATTGCATATGATAGGCGGGGATCTCTTTTTATTCGAACCCAGTCATTGCAATAGCAAGACCAGGCGCCTTTAACCATTGAGCCATCATTTTGCTATAGCTTTCTTCACTATCAAAAAAATATTTAATTGAAACAACATTTTTCATGTTTTGAATTGTATAGCTGATTAAATGCTTCTAAAAAATAAAAACGATAAAAAGGTCGCGATCAAGACAGTCACTAATCTTGCATACACATTCCAAAGACAGTATTTTATCTGTAGCTAAGGATTGGATGAAGAGTAACTTGCGTATGTTCTAATGTTGACATCTTGTTTATCGCTATTTGTTTTAAGTAAAATCTATCAATGCAATACATTTAGAGTTTTATATCTATTCTTTTAAATCGCTGAAATGTTTTGAAAGCTCTTTACTTATGCCACGGTGCGATGATAACGTCGTGCTTTTGTGAAAATCTTCCGAAAAAACTCAGTTGTATCCCATAGAGTAATCAATAAAATGCATTAATTATCATTGCTCATTTGTGGAAATTGAATGCATTGCCAACAGAAATTGCAGTTTATTCAAAAATCGATTTGAGGTGTTTTCAGCATTCGATTCTTGGCCATTCATCACATCTGTTAACATACTGTACACTCATTTTTTTTTACCACGATATGGAGCAAAGTTTTGATGGCACATTTTCAAGCATGAGTTTGAAATTTGTTTGATATTCACAGATGCACACTCGATGTGCTCATGAAGATGAAAGAGGTAACATATCATAATGAACGCAGTTTGAAGAAAGTAAAAAGCAAATTTTTACATTTCTTTATTCAACGATATTTGAGAATAACATTTCATGATTTTGGTAACCTACTGTAACAGTAACAAAATCTTTCTTTTAGTTTCATTTACTTACTTACTGAAAAACAAGAGGAAAGACCGTAAAAAGCTATAACTGGCTTATCAGGTACACCCACCCTAAATAATTAAAACAAAATGTAACGTAAACTAACGACAAAATGAAGCATCTAAATGAACAAAAATTCCGAACGTTGTAAACAAAACATGATAGTTCCCATAAGATGAAAATTACCAAA